TTGAAGGCCAAGAAAGGTATGCATTACTGGTCACTTTAGTAAAGAACTACTTATTTAGATCATGTGACCTCTGTATGTGTATGTGCAGAATTTACTAACTTAGTTCAGTCTCTTCATGTACAGGCTGTGATAACAGGGTATTTAAGGTAGAACTGAAACCACTGGCTCCAGCTTTCATGTATTCTAAGAAGAAGTAAATATCCCTATTGCCTGACACATCTTATTTTTCTTTTAATGTTTTATTATCCTTTTTCTCCCCTATCTAAAGTAGAAATATTAGAAAGCTAAAAATTGACAAAAAGAATGTCTAGAGGAAACCATGACAACAGTGACATACTCATATTCTAGAGTACAGGGGAAATGCTCAGTCACACATAGTTTCTGGTATTATAAACTCTATAGTCTAGAAAAATTCTGGAAAGAATCATTTGGTTGGAATTTGTTCCCAAGTGTATAACCAGAGACCCTAGTTGATATGTTCTCTATACTTGGTCATTATCTCTTGGATGCTGCCTCCTGTTCGGATGCTGTTCTAGACTGCAAATAAGCGAGGCAAGGCTCCATGTGATTTCCCTACTTCTAATTTAAGGTGATTTCTGTCCACTTTCCTCCCCTGACCTAAGAATAAAAATAGCATATCAGGATTCCTATTGTATTCACAGTAAATCCTTATTGACTAATAATTATATAAGAGCAATCTGTTGATATTGCTGTAGGTAACTGATTAATTATGTAGGCAACTATAATCAAAGAGAACCATAAATTATTAATAAAGATTATATCAATACTTTGAATTTTTCTTCAAGCCACTGGATATTAATTTTTAAAAGAGAACAAGATAATGAAGAAAGAGAAAAGTAAGATGGAAAAAATATTTCCTTCATTGACTGAAATTCCTTTTTTTTATACTGTTTCTTTGTTTTCTTACAGGCTACAACTTGTTTCTTGTAGCTGCCCATGAGTTTGGTCACTCCTTAGGTCTTGACCACTCCAAGGACCCAGGAGCCCTCATGTTTCCCATCTACACCTATACTGGAAAAAGCCATTTCATGCTTCCTGATGATGATGTACAAGGAATCCAGTCTCTCTATGGTGACTTAATTTATCAGCTATAAAAACAGAATAGAATCAGTTATAAAATTAGTTACATAAGTAGAATAGATGCATGCATTTTTTTTCTTTCTAAATTGTCCAAGGAGAAAATATTCCATTCTGTATGCTTTTTTTTACATAATATAATTTCTGTATTTGTATTTTATACATTGTCAGATACATTACATACCCTCAAAATACCTCTACCATGAAAAAGGAAAATATTTTATTTCCCATTTAACCAATGAAGCAATTAAGCCTGTTAGAGTTTAGTTACACCTATAGTAACACAGTTGATGGTGACAGCAGTTATAAATTCTTAGTATTCTTTCAACTAGTCTAATTGCCATAGTAGAAATCACTCTTGTGAACTTCAGTAGTTTTTAACCAACAATTACAATGACAGTGAAGAAATCCCTCCTTTTATTCTTCCAATTTTTCCATAATATTTACAAAACATTTAAATCTTAACCAAAACATTTATTTATAGATTACCTGCCATAAATAGAATGAAAACCACCATGCAGTCATTAGTGTAAACATATCTGGAGCAAAGAGCTCAGAATACTTGCTCACGTCTCCTCAATTCATAATTCCTCCCCACCCCAGATTTAAATTCACTATTATAGCTAGTGTAAGCAAAGGCAAGAACTTGAAGGCGGCCAATGGAATTTTCCATTTTATTTTGCAATTTTTATTTTTACTATATTGTGAATAAGGGACTGGTAATAAAATTAGATAAAACACTGTAGGGTTACTGCTGTGCACTGCTGTGTGAGCTGGTGGAAGAGTTATAACCATGTGCAAATCACATCAGACTTGC